TTACAAGCTTGTGTTTACTATTTTCAAAATCTTTTTAATTTTTCTATTTTTAAAACATTTCTTTTGATAACACAATTTATTACAAGATGGTTTTCCGGTACACATTTATTAAATTGTGTACCGTAAGAGTGTGGGGTCTTTTTCTTATATTCTTTCTTCTTCTATTCCACTTTAACGTTTCATACATTGATTGGACAGCGCCAAAAATAAAACAAAATACTGTCTGTAGCTTATGTTAAAGATGAATATAAAATCAACACAAAATTAAACGTGGTTTCACAACAACAAGGCAAATTAAGATTTTCAAAGATATATTCAAAGTTATATTTTTATATTATAAAATAATCAATGTGTATTAATTATTATTAAGAATAATATATTTGATTCACTTTAATCTTAATATATCGTTGTCGCTTTCATGTTAAGAGTATTCTTTTGAATATATACTTTTTCTGTTAAACGGTAATTAGTAAAGTAATATAGCGATCTTCTACTTCTAATTATTATCTAAATTCTGTTTGATGTCCTTTATGGATGAGCTCTTACACCATCATGTAATAAATTGTGTCATCAAAAGAAATGTTTTAAAAATAGAAACATAAAAAAGATTTTAAAAATAGTAAACACAAGCTTGTAAATTTCATATTTCACATTTTTACACATTTTCACAAAATTAAAGTCTCAGCTAAAAAACAACAAATTTCGTTTAAATACAAAAGAATTACAAAAGATCTGAAGCAACTGCACGCTATCATGGCAACAAAAAATACCAAAAAATATTTTTTCATGCAAAGTCATTAAATGTTTTTATGACTATGGTCCATTGAAACATTTAAATTTGCTTTTATGTTTTAAATTCAAGCAAGCAGTGAATCTAATTTTCTTGTTTTTTAAATTTCTAGAACTAATTTGTTGTAATTAAAAAAAAACATTTTTGTTATTGAAAAAATTTAATTTACAATATGTATTTAATTTACGTTTTAAATATAAGCAGTCAGTAAAGTAATGAAATCTATTTTCCATATTAAATATATTTCTAGAACAAGTTTTTTATAATCAAAAAACATTTATTTAACTTATTTAACTTTTCAGCCCAAAAGGGCAAAACATTTAAAGAAATAGCATTTGTGGTTGTTAAACCAAGCAAATTTGTTAATTTTTTAAATTGTACTTTAATTCTTGCCAACTTTTTTTTTAACAATATTTGCTGTTGTTGGAACACATTTCAAAAATTTATTTGCAAATTTTGAGAAATTAATTTTTTTTCCAAGCAATTTTAGGGTTTTTTGGCAAATCCAATTTTTGTCAAAAGGTTCTTTCCAAGCGACATTTTTGCAGTTATACAAGTGCATAGTTATACCAATAACAGCAATTTTATTTCAAGTTTTTAACAATAAATTATAATTTTTTTTATATTATTCTTATATATATATATATGTATATATATATATATATATATATATATATATATATATATATATATATATATATATATATATATATATATATACATATATATATATATATATATATATATATATATATATATATATATATATATATATATATATATATATATATATATATATTATAAATAAGGAAAACACTTATCTAGTTTTATTCATTCATCAGAAAGTTCATCAGTAAGTTCATGCTGATTTCTAGGAGAAACATGCTGTTGAGAAAAAAATCAGATAGTATATATCTGTCACTGATAAGAATAAAAACTTTCAGTGTAATCAAGGCTTTAATAATTTTTGACCTTTAAAAAAAATCATAAATTTCAATTTGTCAAAAATGGTTTTTTTTTGTTTATTTCTCATCATGGTACAAAACTCGTAGAAGCATATTAAATCCTATTGAAAGTATGATGAAACAGCTGTTAAAAAAATGAAGATTATTTATATGTTTTTTTTTTGCATTTTAACACATGCCATGCTTTAAATTGTTTTACTTGTGTTATATAAAATTTCCCACCCATCCTTTTGTTAAGATTCCCTTATTTATTAGATTTAAACTAAAATTCCCACTCTCCTTTTATTCACACCCCCCTTGTGTTAAGCACATAGAGTTAAAGAGATTAGAATTTGAACTTTTTTAAAAACTTTATCTTTTAAAAATAATAATAATAATTAGTGATTCTAAATATATAAAATAGTGATTTTTTGGTGTTTTTCTAGTTTTTTATTAATATATATATATATATATATATATAATATATATATTATATATATATATATATATATATATATATATTTATGGAAAAGTGAAGACATGGGGGACACTGCCGCCCTAATTATTTTCCTAGAATAGCCTATGTATATATATATATATATATATATATATATATATATATATACATATATATATATAGATATATATACATATATATAGATATATATCTATATATATATATATATATATATATATATATATATATATATATATATATATATATATATATATATATATATATATATATATATATATACACATATATATATACATATATATATATATATATATATATATATATATATATATATATATATATATATATATATATATATATATATATATATATATATATATATATATATATATATATATATATATATATATAAGAATAATATAAAAAAATTATAATTTATTGTTTAAAACTTGAAATAAAGTTGCTGTTATTGGTATAACTACGCGCTTGTATAACTGCAAAAATGTTGCTTGGAAAGAACTTTTTGACAAAAATGGGATTTTCCAAAAAAACCCTAAAATTGCTTGGAAAAAAAATTAATTTCTTAAAATTTGCAAATAAATTGTGTTCTAACAACAGCAAATATTATTAAAAAAAAGTTGGCAAGAAATAAAGTACAATTTAAAAAATAACAAATTTGTTTGGTTTAACAACCACAAATGCTATTTCTTTATATTTTTTTTTCCTTTTGGGCTGAAAAGTTAAATAAGTTAAATAAATGTTTTTTGATTATAAAAAACTGGTTCTAGAAATATATTTAATATGGAAAATAGATTTCATTACTTTACTGACTGCTCATATTTAAAACGTAAATTAAATACAAATAGTAAATTAAATTTTT